TCCTCAAAGTGACCTCAAGGCTTTGGGCAGGACACAGATGCATCTGGTCGATGACCTCCAGCCGAAGCCTACCAGGAACACACCTGTGGTTGAACGAGTTGGGCTTGCTGTTTGTTGTGATGAGGGCAATACACAGCATGGGAATTGTGGGGAAACTTCACTAAAGGGTGTCAGGAAGAAGCTGCTGTAGGATTTGGGCTTGTGTTTGATGATTCGAGGAAGGTTCAAGAAGTCAGGATTGGATCCTTTGAGGAAGTGGGGGTAATTCTACAGTTGGGTATCTTAACACATCTTCTCCAGAAGGTGGGATCAACGAATCCAGGCTGGAGCTGTAATTGGTAAAGGAGAGGGGTCACTCAAGAGCAGGACAGGGGGATGCTTGGCCATTTTTGAGCTTTGGACAGTGTTCATATTTTTGTGTGTGCTCAGACATGAACTTGGAGTGGTCTTGTTTTTGCATTTACCCTTCACAGTCATAGAATGGCCTTGTCTGATGCTGTTCTATGAAATAGTTTATATTCAACAGGCCTAGCTGTGCATGCCAGGGCCAGCTCCCAGCAACGCCAAGGCCTGGCCGGTAGAACCAGGCCAGCTCCCGATGTCAGGGGCTGTTTCTTGTGTTCTCAATCTGGTACATCCTTGTACAGCCATATTTATCATTAAAAGATTGAAATAGTTCTGAATTGCTATGTGTGTAGTCAACCGCCACATTCAAAATGTCAAGGATCACAGCTCCCCTGAGTCTGGCACAACAGGAGAGAATGCGATTGGCTCATCAGCAAACACTTCACCAACTCATCAAGTGCATAAAGCAAGGCTCCCCTGAAAAATTAACCAATGCCAGAGGGCAGGAAGGAAGGAAGAAGAAAGCAAGAGAGAAAAAAGGGCCCAGAAAGAAGGGAGCCAGATGAGCGAATGCGGGTGGGCCTATTGGAATAGCTGAGAACACGGTACATGCACAGTTTTCTTTCATGATTTTTCCTTGCTCCCAGCCTGACAAAGCCCAGATGCATCTTTTCCTTTTCCTGTGAGGCCCGAATTTCCCACAACACGTGTCAGTTCCACAAACTTCCTTTCACAGGGGTAACCCACGAGAGTAAATTTCCATCCTGCTCTCCTGTGCGCTTGGCGCCCTCGGGAAGCCGCAGGCTGTGGCGTCCAGCATCTCGCAGAGTCCAGCTGCCAGAGTCCCTCATCTCAGGTGGCTGCTGGTGACTCACTTCCCTCCGCCTGCGTTGAGGGGCTTCTGAATCCGCTCCTTGGCCGGAGCCCATCCCTCTCAATTCCAAAAGCAAGAAATCATGGGCTGCTGACCTGGAATCCAATCCTAGATGTTAGGTGGACGGCCCATATTTTCGGTTCTGCCGCAGTGGAATGATTTGTGGGTGCCCATCCGACTCAGATGATTTGAAGGGAGGAGGGTGAGGGTGAAGCTGGGTCAGAGAGGTGGGAATGTGAAGGCAGGGACCCGGGGACCCAGGGCGAGGGACCCAGAGGGTTTTATTTATCACATTGCGAGCATCAACCCATGCCAGGCGTTCACCCCCAAAATACTTATTAATAAGTTGATAGGGGGCTCTGTCACTTCTCAGGTGCTTGCTGGAACGCAGGGCCCCAGCACCCCCCTCACTCCCCCCAACTCTTCCATTTCCAGCACTGACTCAGGCTTGCTCTTAGGCCCACCCTTATCTTGTCAGTAATCTAGTCAAGTCCCAGTTATGGTTTTTCTTTAAGTATCTCCCGGGGGACGAGGGTTCCTTCTCTTCTTTTGCCACCTCTTGGCAGACCCTGGCACCAGGGTGCCTGCCTGGGTTTCCACTGGAGGCTCTATCCTTTGCTACCCCCACCTTCCCCCTTGTCTGTTGCCAGAGTAACTCCTACAACACAAGCTCGTTCTGAAACTCCTTAACCACCTGTCATCTTAAAAAAAAGTTTTTATTGATTTCAGAGAGAGGAAGGGAGAGGGAGAGAGAGAGAGAAACATCACTGATGAGAAAGAGTCATTGATCGACTGCCTCCTGCACACCCCCTTCTGGGGATCGAGCCCACAGCCCAGGCTGGTGCCCTGACCGGGAATCAAGCTGCCATCTCCTGGTTCATGGGTCGAAGCTCAACCACCGAGCCACGCCAGCTGGGCACCACCTGCCACATTTGTTGTCAGTCTGTGGTCAGAGCCCTCTATCTAACTGATCCACCTCCCCGCTGAACTTGACACATGCAGGGCTCATCTGAGTCTCCGTCATGGTGCAAACGAGGCCTCTTTCTTAATTTATATCCAGAGAACAGAGCACAGACAATTTATCACAAACATGCGCGCTAATAAATTGATAGGAACTGGAGTCCATCTGTTTTCTGACAGTGAGGAAAGGACTCATTTATGTTCTCAGGAAGTCAAAGCACCAGGTCTGGCTGAACCACTCTGATCCTGAGCATAATTCTTTTGCTCATTAAAAATTCTGAGATGTTTGAATCTGTAATTAAAGAAAACCGCAGCCCCAAATTAATTAATTTCAATCCCAAAGAAATTCATCCAATTCTACTAACTCAGAGAAAGATATTAAAGATCCTAACATCTCTCAGGTGACAATTCCAGATGGTGAGAGTGAAAGATTATTAAAAGAAAAAAGCCTGATAATTAAATGGACAAGTGAGTGACACATGGCTTTGGTTTTTATGTGAGTTTTTTACGGGAGCAGAAGGATAAACTCCAGCTGTGTAGTAGTGTGAGGCAGCCCCAGGAGTGACTCTCAAGCTCCCGCTTATCTGCAAGTCAGTTCCAAGAGAAAGATGTTAGACCCACTTCTCTTTCTGATAGCAGATGCATTTTTTCTTTAAAAGCGACCTTGAGGTCAATTCCTTATTTCTTCAGCGAGGGTCTGTTTCCACAATGATGCCCAAGGACTCTCAGGAGCACCAGAGACCAGAATGCTCAGGAACCAATTCCCTGGATGACTCCTGCCATCGCAGGCCATTTGCAGACGCAGGCTCTGGGCCCCTTTCTCTGGGCCCAGCTCAGAGGACGGTGAGGGCTTACAGCTGGGGACCACGGACGACTCAGTCCACAAATCATGGATTTGATGGAAGTGAGAGTGTTGGTTTGTTCTCAGCATATCAACCAGTACAGCCTCCATTTTCCTTCAATCTGAGACACACATTCCCCTGTCCTGCAAAAACGTTTCAAGCCCTTAGGGTAAGGGGTGAAGATTAGCGTGGACCGATGACGTATGGAAGCTACTAGGAGAAGCACGTATCTAATCTGAATGGTATTTGGGACTTGAACAGAATATAATTGTTTAGACTTTGCATTGCTGAAACAAATTCTTAAGTATAGATGCTAAGTGGGATCATGACGTGCACGGGCTATGAGGTTTCAGAGGAATATTTGTAGTTCCTTGATTCATCTGATTACCATTTATTAAGACTTACATATGTGGGGCAGGTAGCTCAGTGCTGGATAGATCCCTAGTAAATGAGAGGAATTCAATACTTATTGAATCGCACACACACACACACGCACACACACACACTCAGCATTCACATAATCTCCTTCTGACACCTGGGCACTGTTGGCCTGAAGCACCAGCTGCCGTTGCTTGTTTTCGCTTCTGCTACTTCATTTTTCTTATTTACTTTTCCTCCCGATTTAACTTGGTGTCGCCACGATGCGAGAAAGGCTTAGACGCTGGGGGAGAGGTGGAAGGAGAAATGCGTATTTGGTGGGAAGTGTGTATTTATGTGCACACCTGAGCTGTCGATTTAATGAGACGATACCCAGGCCCACAGACTGAGGAGGAAGAGAGAAGGGATTTACTAGCTGTCTGGATAATGAAAGGTTTGTTCAGCTGTCTCTGGGATTCCATTTCGTGCTTTTGTTTTTATAATTAAAATTATTTCACCACTGGGGTTAAAACCTTATATCTTAAGTGTCACCCGGAAGCATATTTTTTGTGACTGAGTCGTTCTGGGAAACAGAGTCGGTTTACGATATATATCTTTTTTTCCCTGATATCTCAAAGCGCATGTTTGGGAAATGCCCCCAATTTTTCTTCCTATGTTGCAAGTGAGGAAGCAGATTCAGAGGCTGAGCAGCTGTCGGAGGCAGGTCAGGCCTCGGTTCTTCCCTGGCTGTTCTGGCCGGAGGGTGCGCTCCTGGGGATTTGTGCAGCACAATCTTTGCCTGTTTCTGAGGCAAGTGACCTATTTCTAAGTAGGCTCATCCCAGAGAGGCCCTTAATGGATTTACCTCCCTTTAAAGGCAGGAGCTATTTCTTCTCCCAAGACACACATATGATGGATGAAATGATTATCTCATCGGCTTAATTCTCCCTCTTTTCATTTGGGAGTGTCGGGCCAAGGCCTCCCCCTGTGCCCCGGGTGGGGGTGCAGCGGAGCCAGCGGGTGAGACTCGGGGCTGCACGGTCGCAGAAACGCCACCTCGGCGCGGGCAGCCCGGTTGGCCCAGGGAGCCGCGTTTTCTTTACCGCCTGTTTCCTCACCAACTGTATGAAGCCCAAGAGGGCCCAGGACAGTCAGGACAAGGTAATTCTAGATCAACTGGAGTTTATTTGAAGGGAGAGAAAATGGAGGCAGGAACTTCCACTCACCAGTGAAGGGAACCATGAGAAACTGGTGGCGGTCCTCATGGTGACAGCAGAGCTAGGGCTCGGGGCAGAGCTAGATTTAGGGAGCTGTTGGCTTGGAAGCTGCCCAGGCGCCAAGCTGGAAAAGAGAACCACCTGGGAACGTGGCTCGGCCTGACTCAGGTTCCCATCCGATGCCTTCCATTCCTGGCCAAATGCAAACGGACTCCGCTCCCGCTAGGACAGCCAAGCTCTAGAGCAGAAGTGCCAGGCCCACCCGCACTGCCACGGTGGTGTCATTGCAACACGCGTGGATGACTTGCGCATTCTACCTGAGACGTGCTCCCATGGACAGTTTGGGGAGCTGGCATTTGCAGTGAGAGGCTAATTTGAAACTCAGTCGTACCTGATACGGGGCTGTTTATTGGGAATAAGTAATTTATTTTAGAGCGACATTTTATTAACCACATCTTTACATGGTTCCGTTTGCTTCTGATGTATTTTCTGGTTCTGAAGACCACAGTAGTTGAGCTCTCATTTTTGAACATAGAAAGTATGCAATTTTTATGAATAGAAAATGAGTTTCTCTTTGCTTCCATTAAATAAGTAAACAAATATTTAAAGAATATTGGTTGGAAGGGTCATCAGATTGTTGACGACTCAGGCTCTCACATGTCTAGGAAGGTCCACCTACCTTCCCACCCGGAGGTGTAGAATCGACTATGAAAGCAATGAAAGATTTTGACAGCGTCACAGAGAAAGAAATGACAAAAGTCAGTGACAAATCAAATGAGGGAATGCACTGTAAAGTGCTACTGCAGTGATTTACATTTGGACAAAATAGATTGCCTGAGAGATAGGGCCTTGTAGGGCACGGGGGGAACTGGGACTTTGGAGATGTCATCACTCTCAGGGCCCTGAAGGGGTCAGAATCAGAGTCAGCAATGGACTCTTTGGGTTGTTTACAGCTTCTTGTGCATGTTTTGGGGTTGTTTACAGTTTCAAAGTGAGTATATGAGCTCAATCAGAGATTGTGCTGAAATTTCCTCTTACAGTGATGAGAGCCAGTGCGTATTTGTTACATGAAAGGAAGAATGAATTCAGAGCAAGATAGCAAAGAAAGATCAGTTTTGCCATATCTAGCTGAAACTGGGATCTAACAGGAGATGTCAGAAAAGCAGGAAAGGGGAAGAATGAGCTCAGAGTCAGAGCAGAGGTCTGTAAACACACAGAGTCCCCCTCCCTCACGGTTCGTTCAATAGCTGACTGAGGGAGTGGCTGTTCACAAGCCATTCTCTACGTTGCTGCAGAATTACACAGCCTCCTCGGAGAAAGAGCCCAGATAAACACGAAGCCTAACGATTACCGACGTTATTACTTCCCCGTGTTGAACATGGAAATTTTTATTCGTAGTGGATTTTGGCACCTTTTTTCTTTTGCCCTTTACAGATCATTAAATGCATTTTCAAATCAAGAAAATTCTCAAAGGCCTTCCCAAGCTAGGATTGTTTATAGAGCAAAAACTCGCTCCCAACAAATATTTGCAACTTAATAATATGTTTGTATAAAGCCCAGAATTTTTGTATAAAACAGGTGTCAGCCCAGTAAATGTTTCACTGCTCCATTAAGCATCTACCTTTCCCTTGAAATTCCTCCCTGTCTAACAGGGCACAAATACACCAAAATGGTCATTTATTTTAAATTATCTCAGTGCTGGGCTAGGAAACATGGGTCCCAGCTGATGGCAGAATTCTTCCAATGAGGCCGCCTTTGGGACTGTTAAACCATAAAGTGATCTTTATAGGTCAGCGTTCATCCCAAGCTGCTGTGACTACATGAAAGGTAATTGTCTGGCACCAGGCAAAGGGGGAGTTTAACCAATAGGCCCTTATGGCCAGTACTTCTTGAGATTCCACTTTCTTTTTCCCTGTACTCACTGGTGGGACACGTGGAAAACAGACGCTTTGAGCAGAGTTGACTAACCCCCAACTATTTGTTTCTACGGCCTGTTTATTCTAGGCGGATTGAAAGAGGTGTGTTCTGCTGGCGCCGAGATGAGCTCAACTTGGAAAGTTGGTCCAAGTAGCAGAATGCTCAGAGGCTCACACTGGCTTAACCAGGGCAGGAAGTCAGGACACTGTTGGCAAAGAGAAATCGAGAACAGGGAGGTCTCCTCGATAATTCAGATCGCAATCAACTAGTGTTCTGGAGAGACCCTTAATTCCTTTCCCTCCACACTCCTCGACTCAGCACTCAGAGCCCAGCCCCCCGAAAAGGCAGTGATCACAAATAATCTTCCACGAGGACTCATTTCCCATGGCATCCTCTCCACAGCATGGCCTGTCCACCTTGGAAGCCACGAGAAACCCAGCGTCCCAGCCCACCCCACATCACCCCGTCTTGCCGTTGGGTTTGGACCCTCCCCAGCCCCCCAAACCCTCGCACTGTGCCTTACGGACTCAGGGTCTGTCATCAGCAAAATCCCCTAGAGACTCAAATTCTTTTCTGAAAATTTTCTTCATCTTCTCGCAGCCCCGACGAAAATCCCCTGTAGGCCTCGCAGGTGGTGTCCTTTCTTTCATTTCCTCTCCCCACCTTCTTCAAACCCTGGGCTTGGAGCCGGGCGAGTCTCCTTGCGTCCCGCCCTGCCCCAGCCCTTGTTCTTCCCACGCTCTGAAGTCTTCCAGTGCACTGGAAACGCGCGCCCTGGGGCTCTGTCATGTCCTACTCCTTTTGTGTCACCTACGTTCCTCCTCCTTGTGCCCCCTCATTTATCGATAAGTTTAGCACGCGGATTTCAGCTCTTCCACCACCACTTTTGTCACTGCTTTCAGTACTCTGAATATCCAGACAGATGACCCATCCAACATGCGGCTTTTCTGTTGCAAGAATCTCACGCGCTGTCCCAGGTCAGCCTTTATTCCCACGGCCATCCCTTCGATGTGGTGTTGCCCGTTTCTCACCACCGCAAAGCCTCAGCTCCAAGGAGGCAGCCTGTAAGCCGGGCCCTTAACAGGAGCTGAATCGGCCAGCACATTGACCTGGGGCTTCTCGGTCTCCAGAGCTGGGAGAAATAAACTCCTGTCGTTGAAGCCCCCCAGCCTACGACGTCCAGTTATAACAGCCTGCGCTGTCTGAGACGGGGGCTCATTCAGTGGGATGGTAGAAACCTAAGCTGGGGCTGTGGGTCTTGAATCAGGTAATGGGTGTGCATGTGAGCTGCACTCAAAGACCCTGACTGTTGCTCTTCTTGCTGAAAAATTAACTCCGAGAGAGGACTTTGAATCCATCCACCCATTTATTCCACAGTGAATTCTGGGCCCCTGCATGTGTTGTGTCCAGGATTCCCAGCCCTGGGATACAGACAGCAACGAACAAGCCGAATCCTTGTCTTCCTGGAGCTTGAGAGTTCTCAGAAGATCATATTTCTTTCCCTTTTTTCTTTCTCTGCTTTGCTCCAATGTCGCTGGGGAGTGGTTTGAGTGGAAGGTGCAGTGTTACGCACAGCAGAGGGGTGGCGTGGAATGTGAGGACAGAGGAGTGAGCATGGCTGTCACAGGGCCCAGCTGCCCCGCTTAACGCTGCGTGAATGGGAAAATTACTTTGTCTCCAAACCTCATTTGTCTCTCCAGCAAAATGCAGGAACTAATTGAATCTGCCTCGCCGGGCTGCCGAGAGGACGGTCTATTGCAGCACTTGGCACCAGCGAGAGTCCAGGGCTCAGTGGGTGTTACTCGTAGAGCCAGTTTTGGGAGAGGTCGAGGCGGAGACGGCTCCCGAGAGGGAGCGGTGCAGATCTTGGTGAAAGAGGGAAATTTCTCCAAGTGGTCCTGGCTGTAGGCATATTTGGTCATGAGGGAGTGATGGCTGCAAAGGGCCTGGCAAGAAAGAGGGAAGAGAAACGGGGCTAGAATGAGAAGGATGGTCAAACAGGAAGCCAACCCGGAGGAGGTGGCCTCGAGAAGATTTATGCGCAAGGAAATACTTCTGAATCCCAGGGAT